GCCTGCGATGATGACCAGGCTGAGGGTACGATGGCACCGGCTCCCGGTGTGACTACCAGGCTAGTGATCAGCTGTGACATCACCGGGACTGGGAGGCAGGCCTGGTTTGGGGATGGCTTTCAAAGCCAGGATGCCATCCACGGACCACCCTAGGGGTCCTGGGGCGCGGGCACCCCACCCTAGCCCCCCACCTTCCTCCGCTGCTGCCGTGGCTGCTGGCTTCCGGCCACCACACCCCCACACTCCGTCCCCAGTCCTCAGGCCTGCATTCTTGGTCATTTGAAAACGGTCTCTGGGACCATCAACTTCAAGCAGCCCTTTGTCAGCACCAGTGGGGGATCGGGGTCAGACGGCTGGAAAGGGGGGCGCTCTAGGAGGCCCAGAAAGAGCTTTAGAAAGGGAGGCCTTGACAGGCACCTGCCCTCAACACCCTTCTGCCCCGAGACCCGGGAAAGAGCCAGCAGACGACGGCTTGGCCTCAGAGGACCCTGGACGGCCAGCCCACCAGCTGCCCCTTGGGACAGACGGGGAGCACGGAGGCCCCGAGCACAGAATTGTACCCTCCACGTGGGTTAGAGGACAGTCACCGTGGCGAGTGGCGACCTCCCCAGTCCCCCTCCTTCTGGAACCCACCGCTCTCCGCATTGCTGATGGCACCCCCTCGTCACCCCAGCTCAGAGGGACATGAGCTGCGGACCAGGGAGGGACCAAGAGAACTAGCTGGACAGGAGCTGCAGTGCAGACTAGCAAGAGGGGGCTGCAGGAGGCTGGTGTCACATGAGGGGTGGAGCTTGGGAGCATGTCTGCTGCCCTGGGGACACCAGGGGACACAGGTCTTCCTATCAGGTGCTCTGCTCCTTATGGAGAATCCCTTGGTTGCAGGAAGCTCTGAGCCAGCAAGGGGCAGAACACTGGAGGAGGGTGACTGGGAGAAGCCCATGCGGGAGGAGGTCGTGGCTGGCAGACGGCGGTTCGGAACCCAGACTCCGAGACATGGAGTAACGGGCGGCGGGGGCTCCTCTCTTGCGTGAATTGGGCACAGGGCCAAGTGGTGGTCGCCTAAGGGCTGCGTAGAACAAGAGAGGCCTCCAAGGAAAGAGCCCCAGAGGGCGGAGGGCTTTAGGAATCACGTTTGGAGATTTTCCTTCGGCCACATGGAAGCATCTGCAGGTAGCCCAGCACATAAGGATGCGTGATAGACACATTTCATTTCCAAATCCCCAGAAGATTCCAGAATTGGCTCCTCTTGGAAGGACACTTTCCTCGCACACAAGGAAGGGCGTAGTATTGGGAAAGTGGGGTCCCCCCGGGGGGTCAGAGAGATCCAGGTGGGACAGAGCTGACTGGCGGGGAAAGAACCCACAGTCCAGGCTGCGTGGCCAGCCCAAGGTCCTGCACATCCTGGTCTAGTCCCCTCTGGAAGAGGGAACTAAGCTTTCCAGGTGCTTCCAACTGGATAGAAGGCTCCTATCCTGGTTCCCAGAGAGAACTGCTCCAGCTGAGACGGGAAGTCTCTTCCAGGATCTAGGATTCCTTTTTAAATTTTTTTTTTTCCCAATGTAACTCATCTCTGAGTCTCTGCTCCCAACACAGTGAGCACACGGACCTGAAAATACTCTGGGGACCCCACCCTCGTGGCTTCTAATCCTAACTACCTCCCCAAGACAGGATCGACCTCCAAATACCACGAAGACAAGAATTCGGGATTGTTTCCGACGACCACAGGAAAAGCAAACCTGTGCCCACGCCCATCCCCCACAGCCTGGGCTCTGCCCCTGACAAGGTGCGGGACTGTGGGTAAATCTGAGTCTGTCCATCGTCTGCCCCCACCTGGGGTTAGGCAGGATAAAGGCACCGTGTTGTGTTCCCTGGAAGGACCCACGTGTGGGACGAGGCCAATGTGAGGGCTGAGAAGGGATCCGCATCCAGCACATCTTGGTGGATGGCCAGCGGGTACCCAGGGCACAACTCAAGGAGACTCTGCTCTCGGCCACGCACAGGTGCAAGATCAGCCCCTGAGAGTGGGAGTAGGATCAGAAACACCAGGAAAGGGACGCTGCTCTGCATCCCCTTAGTCCCATCCCTGACACTCGGACAAGGACTCTTGCGCAAAAGAATGAATTGGGGACTTGTTTTCAGAAGAAAAACGTGTTAGAACGGGGAGAACTGGGCTGAGAAGCAGAAGAAGCCATTCAAACAGACCTCAGTTGAAGTCTCACCCCTGCCTGATCCCTGGCCCCAAAATGACACCCTTCTGGTCGGCAGGGGAACGCGTGTATTTGTTTGTCACTGACTACACACCATCGCTGGGTGAGCATAACCCCCCCAGGCATTTCTCCCCATAGCGTAATTCTCCAGAAAGTTACCGGGGGACAGGAGAGCTGCCCGCACCCAATGCTCATAAGAGCTCAGGGCTGGGGGGAGCGATTATGAGGTAGAGGAGATTTGGATGGTCTCCTAGCCCATATTCTGTTGCTATAACAAAACACCAGAGGCAAAGTCATTTATAGAGAAGATGATTTCATTTGGCTCATGGTTCTGGAAGCTGGAAAGTCCAAGAGCATGGCACTGGTACCTGGTGAGGGCCTTCTGGCTGCATCCTAAGATGGCGGAAGGCATCTGTGGAGAGACAGCAAGTGTGCCAGCCTGAGTCTCTCTTCCTTTCCTTCTAAAGCCATTCTGAGGACTCCACCCTCATGACATCGCATCCTCATTACCTCCCGAAGAAAGGACCAACCGCCAACTGTCACTAACGTGTGCATTTAGGGGTGATGTTTCCAACCCGTGGACTTCTGGAAGACACAATTAAACCGTAGTAGATGGTGACCGGCGATGTCCACTAGGCCTTCTGAGCGCCGATTCCAGAGGCAGCTGTGGGGATCAGGAGGGACGTGAATGTGGCACACCTTGTAGAGAGGGTGCTTAGCAGGTCCTCAGCAAGGAGTGTCAATGTGGCCCCAGACAAAACAGGACGTTCCATGGGCGCAGACTCCTCCGGGTCTTTGTGGTTCTGTCCCGGTGTCCAGTTTGGTGCTGGACTCTCTTAGGGTCTGGGTATGAGGTGTCCCACCAAAGCTCCAGGAGTGACCCAGAAATGTTCCGAGGTGAGAGGACTCTGAGAGTCGTGGCTTCATCCATCTGGTGAGTTAATGATTAGAATGGAGGAGCATGGGACTGTGCCCTGGGAGGGGACATCTTCCCCTGGCTCCTTCCCTGCCCCCCGCTCCTTGGCTGCCATGGGCCGAGTGGCTCTTCTCCGCCACCCTCTTCTGCCATGATGTCCTGCCTCACCTCAGGCCAGAGCAACGGGGTTGGCCCACCCCGGGGCTGAGACCCGGAAACCGTGAGCCCAAAGCTACCTTTCCTTCCTCTGGGTTGTCCTGCTCAGGTGCTGTGGTCTAACACAGGTGCACAGTAGGCTCTCAGGTCTTTGCAGGTGAGTAGGTCATGGTTCCAATGTCCACCATCGCCCTGACCCTGGCCCATCTGACCCTACAGACAGACGGTGGGTCAGACCACCCTTCCCCAGCCTGGGGTAGACCAGGCCTCCAGGAGACAGCATCCCAAATTCCACTTTGGTTTCCATTGTTTTCCTCTTGCATTTCCAGCGGATGGAGGCTCAGCTTCTCTGCCTTTTAAAGGTGGGGCAGGAGGCCCATTCTGGCATCCTCTCTGCAGGGCTGGCTGGGGGTGACCTATGGCCCCACACAGATCACTGGCACCCTCAGATGTCCCCTGTAGCTTCTCCATGCCAGTCACTGTGACCCCAAACTCTTTCTCTGGGATGTAGCTATCCATGGCTCCAAAATTCCAACCTCAGACTCGAGACTTTTGTGAAATATCCACCTAAGCTCCAGATGGGAGAAGAGTTCTTTTTTTTTTTCTTCACATTTTGGAACACAAACCTGATTTTTTTTCACAGGAGGTCCAGAACACTGGGCGAAGGAATCCATATTCAATCACCTGCCTCCGTGGGATGTGGCAGGCTCAGTGTGCCACTGTGCTGTGTGATCCCAGACAAATGGCTTCACCTCTCTGTGCTCCAGCCACCCTCAGTTCTCCCCTGTTGTTCACAAGTTCCAAGCACCTCCTGTCTCAGGGACTCTGTGCTGTTTTCCTGCCTGAAACACACATGCACACCCACCACGTTCACCACAGTGCACCTCTCAGCCCTTCTCTCAAACATCACCTCCTCCATGACCTGTCTCTGAGGTCCTCCATGACCTGTCCCTGAGCGCCACACACCTCACTGCTCCCGTTCTGTTTCTGTTTTAGAGCTGAGTGAATCTGCAGGGCAGGGCCGTCTGACGTTCAGTGCTCTACCCCCAGTGCCTGGCACCGAGTAGGTGCTCAAGAAACCCGTGCTGATGAATGACAGGCACCCCTGCAGCCCAGCTGAAGGAGGCGGGCTGCGCGGCCCATCCCCAGCCCTGTGCAGTGGGCTCTGGTCATTGTAATTGCAAACAGATGTCGTTCCCCCACCCCTGCCGGCCGCCTTCACCCGGCCGTCAGCCATCTCCCTGCTGAGTGCTATATATTTTCAAGGCTTTTCCCCGTGATCTGCACTCACGCCGCCCCCGCAACTCAATCTTCCCCTCCCCACTGTCCATTGGCATAATCAACCGGGGACCCGTCCAGGACCTGCCAAGCTTGTATTAATGTTGGCTCAGGGGGAGATTTACTTCTTCCCGGCAGAGCTCGGGCTGGTTCTGGCTCAGCTAGGCCTCCCCACCCTTGTCCCCACACACACACACACACACACACACACACACACACACACACACACACACGGCTCAGGGTTGAGCCAGTGCTGATTCTCGGTGGGGAGGGGACGTCCCTTGGCCTTGGCCAGATACAGTCAGTCCCAGGGGTTTCCAGAGTCTGTGTCATGGGCCCTGGGAGCCCATCGCCTGCCCTGTGAGGGCCACGGCAGCCTGGGAATGTGTCTCCCTGGGAAGTTTCAATGCCGCCATGACCAAGGTCAGACGGCTGTGCGACTTGAGGGGGTCAATTACCTCTCGGTCCTCAGGTTGCTCCCTCATGAAAGGGGACATGGGTGGAGTCGCGTGACATGGTGACACCTCCACTACAGGTCTCAGCTGAAAGAGAGGAATAAGACAGCCCCCACCCTGAGGGGGACAGGTGGAAGCAGACAGCGGGCCTCTCCTCTCTCCCTCCAGGATGAAATGGCCTGCAGCCCCTGACCCCTGCTGGCTCATTCCAGGAACACAGAAAGACAAGAGCACCTGCCCCGAGCCCAGCTGAGCCCCGCTCCTCTGACTCTATCCCTGCGACATGTCCCCAGGTCCACCCACAACAAATTTCTCATGGATCCCCTTGCACATGCTGTTCCCTCTGCCTCCATTTCCCTTCCACCCATTCTCTGCCTGGGAAACTCCTATCCATCCCTCAGAGCCACCCCTTGTTGGAAGGCTGCCCTGCTCCCCGCTTCTCCTGAGCCTCAAGCAGATGCCATTTCTTGTGTGTCGCTGCAGAATCTCATAAAGTGTTCTACAGGAACCTCTCCTACCCTGGCTTTTCCACCAAAGCACAAACCCGTGAGGACGGGAACCGCGGAACCCAGTGTCTGTCACTTGGTAGAAACTTGATCAATGTTTAAATGAATGGTTTTGGGAGCTTCACTCCCAAGACTGGGACATTCTAATTACCTAATGGATGTTTCTGGAAATAATCGATGACTGACTGACTACTGGCCTATCTCTACAGCCCCAGGGCCGTGGCCCACATTTCTGGCGCTCCACCGTAAGTGGCAGGAAGTTTTTGAATGGACTTTATGTCCCTAGTGCGGGTTATGGCGTCTGCATGTCTTGGGCTCAGGACACGCCGCAGCCTGATCCCACCCCCTTGCTGGGGCGCGCAGGCTCAGGGCAGCAGAGGATTGTGGGCAGAGCTCGGTGCCACCTGTTCCTTCAGCACCCCAGGCTCCTGGTGGCTCTGCCGGTTTCAGTAAGTAGCACTCTGGAGCTGTCCTGTGTGTTGACACCCAGCCAGCAGGTGGGCGGAGACTGCAGAAGGTCACCTGTCAGTGGATTCCAGGGGTCAGGTCAGGAATGGTCCGCGTCACTTCCGCTCATGTGCCTTTGGCTAGAATCCAGTCACATAGCCACACCTAGCCCCAAGGGAGGCTGGGAAATGCAGCTCACCTGCGTGCTCAGGTAAAGAGGAAATGAGTCTGACGAGTACTTAGCAGATTTACCAAGTAGTCCATCATCAATAAGTATCAGAATGGATACATGGACAATGCTCTTCTCTATCTGGATTCCAGCCCAAGGTCTGCATGTAGTAGTAAATGCCCAGGAAAGTCATGGAGAAAATTCACACATCACTGTATCCTCAAAAGCCTTAAGTGTTGTCTGGCATGGAGATGGTACTCTATGGATGGATGGACAGGTGGATGGATGGGTGGACAGATGGACGATGGTTGGATGAATGGATGGATGGATGGATGGATGAATAAATGGATGGATAGATGGAGGGATAGATGGATTAATGTATGGATGGAAAGATGCATGGATGGGTGGGTGGGTTGTGGATGGATGGGTGGGTGAATGGATAAATGGATGGATGGATTGATAGATGTATGGATAGACAGATGGGTAGATGGATGGGTAGGTGAATGGGTGGAAGGATGGATGGATAAATGGATGGGGGTGGATGGGTGGATGTGTGGATGGAAAGATGTGTGGATGGGTGGGTGGGTGGGTGTGTGGATGGATGGATGGATGGATG